TACATACATCAATTCACAACATATTTTTGGAAATCATCATAAATATCTGTTTTAAAAGTAAATCATTACGCTTTGTGTATCGACAATAAATAAAAATAAATTATGTATCAATCTATAAAAATTATTTGTCAATCATTACCACGTTAAAAACTTGTGAAGAACAAGTGCAATAACTAAAGAAAAGGTCAAATTTTCTTGCACTTATTAAATACTAAAAGCACGTTTTTTCTAACATTTCTCAGTTATCAATTTTGCATTTTGGCAAACGCAGTTTTCTCTAAATGCATTCTATTGGAAAATTGTTGTATATTTTTTCATATAAAATTCGAGATCAATTTATCAATCATCAACTAAATCAACAACGAGTTTTAGTAAAAAGTCGACCTAAATATCAAAACACCATTTAAAACATTGCCTATGATATCTTAATTACAAGTGAGAATTATAAATGAAAATTAGTTAAAAATATTAATTGTCCATAAGATATGGTACATTTTGTTGAATAAGATCATTTTGAAACTCATTAATTATATGAGCAAAGTACATAAAAGAATTCTCCATTATATGGATTATTAACCCGAATGTGAAGTTTATGCCTTTAAATAATAAATCAGATTTGGTAAATTAATATTTTCTCAATGTTTCAAGTCATTCTGAACCGTTTGACACCAAAATTAAAAAACTATATGTGTGCGTTAATGTGACTCGCACTTTCACCTTTTCTTGGTCAAGTTTTTCAAAAACAGCTGCACCGATTTCAAAATTTAAAAATCATTTGATAAAACTGGATAAGGGAGAATAATCAGAGGAATGATTAGCTTTTATTAAAGATGGGCTGAACCATTCTTCAAAAGATCAAGAACATCATAGAATATTAAAGGCCAATGATTGAATTACAAAAAATATCAAAGTTTGGAATGATGTTTATAAAATGCACTATACAACTAATTTTTCTTAGTTGAAACTATTAAGGTAATTTTAATGATAAAAGACTTGTTAATAAGTTTGAAAATGGAAGGACTAAGATTTTAAAATCTAAAAGTATTGAAAAGATTTCAAACTTGAAAAGTTTTTGAGAAAACTTGTACGAAATGTTAAATTTTAGGTCACATCTGCAAACACACATATTACCCCGAATTTTGATCTCAAAAGATTCGGACTAAGTTGAAACATCGAGAAAACATAAAATGAGCAAATTGGATTTTCTAGCAAAAATAAACTTCTTGGGAATGTTAATGAAAAAAGTTGCCTTGCCTTTCCTTTACTATCTGCTAATGTAATTCAATGATGAAATGTAAATAAAGATGGGATGAACCCTTCTTCAAAATTAGTTGTTGAAAAAAAATTTTTTGATGATTTTATGAAACTTTGCACAGTGATAAAGATCATGGTCTTGAAGATCATTAACATCATAGAATATTACAGGTCAATGAACTGATTCAATTATAAAAAAATATTATATTAGGTTGTCAAATATCTCCCTTCCGCTTTTTTGCTCTTGTTTATAATACAAAAAGGCGGAAGGGAGATATTTGACAACCTTATATTAGACATTTATTACGCACTATGGGAAGTTCATGAAATTCGCCTTAAGGAAAAATACCACTTACACCTAGTTTTAATTATTCATCAGTTGGATACACTTTTTACGACAAAAGTTATAGTTCGACATATACTATAGCAAACAGCTTTCCATTACTTCATCATCCATAAAATATACAAACACATGTTACTAGTAAAATAAAATTGTTTCAAAATTATTTTATGAACTGATAACAAAATACTTCGCGACGCGTAATTAAGTGCTTGACAAGCAATTACATGTAAATAATAATGCTCAATCAATAAATTCCACAATTCTAAAAATTTTACCTAATGGATTACACATTCCACGTTAACTACCTAGTGTTTGTTTCTTCATTTTTGAAAGGTAATATTTATCGCAAAAACTATGCAATTTCAGATAAAATCTAATAAAAATGTCAATAGTTCATTGCATGTTAGGTTCTTCCCAGTTATCATCTAGATTACATTCAACATCTAAAAATAAAATAATGCATTAGTAAGCAAATTAACAAATCAAATAGAGGACTAATAAAAAACTAGTCCTAAGTGATATTCTGCTTTGGAAAGTTGCATGGACTTTTTAGATAATATACATAATCTAAAATAAAATTCGAAAATAAGGTTTACTATTTCAAACTTTTCATGTAAAACTTGACTATCATGTCAAAAACGAAAATTTCACAATTGATTACGACAAATAGACCAAGCCAATCTTTAACCAAAACCTAATCAGCACAATTCCTTACTAACATTTTTCAACCAATTTTTGAAAATTCAAATCGGTTGGTTCAAGATTTTTGGCAGAAACGTTGACAAAAGATTTTGTAATTGTCTGCTTATTATAAAAAAACGGTTCGGCGTATCGTTACACAAAATGAATCGAGTAGGCCTTATCCAGTTTCATCAAATTGCTTTAAAATTTTTACAATCGGTGCAGCCGTTCTTGAGAAAATGACATCGAATAGTCAACGATGACCATAAATTTGGTCAAACTTTGGTCTCTAATGATTCATAATGTTTTGAAACGTCGACAATAAAAATTAAATTAAAAAAGATTTGGGAAAATAAAAACAAGAAAAGTTATAAAATTTAGTTTAATTGATTTGTATACAAATATAAAAAACGATCACTGCTTTCTCCAACATGATATTTTAATCATGTTTCTTAAAAAGTTTGTAATTCGAATATGTTAACTCCAAACAAAACAAATGTATTTCTTTTTATTAAACTAATTGAATTTGGTGGGAAAATGAAATTTATTTTTACTTCTGAAATAATTATATTTATATTCAGTAAAATTTCTTCAAATATAAAAGTGAATCATGAATCATATTAGTTAGTAATTTCTTTGGTCTCATACATATGTTATTAAGTTTTGATGAATTTACATTAGAATCGTTCGGTGGATTTGACTTGACAAATTTCTTTTTAGTTCTTAAAATCACTTAATTTTGCAATTCGAACACATATTTAAAATATTTGCTTTTTCTCTAAAATAAATGGCAATAATCGTTTCTTTGGGAAGCACGTGTACTTACCGGGAACTTTTCTTTTGTCAATCTAACTGTAAATTCATAATCCAGAGTAATTATTGCTATGACGTAATGTGCAGACAATAATTTCAAATAGAGAGACCATGTACTTGAGTAAGCAAAAAAATTACCTTAATTTTTGTAGAGTTTTGTTTTCACCTAGATAATCATAAAAAACTAGCGGTGTATGGCAATCCTACTTTAGAAATTAATCCAAAAAATTAAGATTTATTTCTAAATTCTAATTACAATGACAAACCGATCATGTCATATTTGAAGTATAATTTTAATTATATTATTGATTTTAAATATTATACATATATTTAATGCTATTATAAATATATAATTTATAATTTAACATTATATAAATGTGTATAATGGTTGACACTAATAAATTTGTGCATCACGAGTCTTACCATATAACTAATAAACATTATTCAAAATTGTTATATGATGTATTTATTTTTACTTAAATGCCATCTTGTACAGTAGCAAAGAAGTTTTACTTCAATCGCGATTTGTGTTTATAAAATGCACTACACGACTAATTTTTCTTAGTTTGAAAATATTAAGGTAATTTTAATGATAAAAGACTTGTTAATAAGTTTGAAAGTGGAAGGCCTATGATTCTAAAATCTAAAAGTATTGAAAAATTTTCAAACTTGAAAAGTTTTTGTAAAAACGTCGACAGATGGTTAAATTTTGGGTCACATCCACACACACATACTTCTTCCAATTTTGGTATTAGAAGATTTAAACAATTAATGCCAACCAAATAGCTCATAGAATATAACTCTGATCGTTATTAAGAAAAGAAATAAACAATCTTTAAAAAAAGATTCAGGCTAAGTTGAAACATCGAAAAAACATAAAATCAGCAAATTGGTCTTTCTAGCAAAAACAAACGTCTCCTTTGGAATGTTAATAAAAAAAGTTTTCTTGACTTTCCTTTATAATATAGATAGATGGTTCAAAAATTGAAAAAATAAGTCCCTTAGCCCCTCATCTATTATCTGTTAGAGTAATTTTGAAGCACACAACAATTTTAATCAATGATTCAAATTCCACGTCCATTATAATACATATATAACACATTTGGTAATGAAAAATACCAGTAACACGGCTGTAGCCATGCAGAAAAGACGAACGATCTGTTTATCAAAATTAAAACTAAATTAAACGTAAACAAAATAATCAAAATCAATTAATTGTAAAAATTGATTAATTGTTAAAGATAATATGGCTGCGATTAGGACATTTTTGTCAATGGCATCGATAGTGGGAATAACAAGTGAGTAGATTTGATGTCAGTAGTAATTGATTATGTTCACAAACAGGTACTTCAAAACTATGATAGTCAAAGTCAACTATTAGGGTGGTCCTTAATATGGACATTATCGTATTTCCTTGCTCCCAAGGGCTCAAATGGTTCCAAACTGATAAAAAACAATTCTCTGAAAGTTTTAGCTCTTAATATTAACTTTTAGATAGTGCGCAATTCAATCAAACTTCGTATGGAAATAGCATGGAAAAAATTTTGAAAATTAAAAAAAAAAATTTTAGGTATAACTTAGCGACAAATGAATTAAAAGTAAAAATTCGTGTCATTTTTTATTGAAAATTCGACGCTCTGCAAAATTTTTGAAATTTTTTTGAAAAATGCTATTTCCATACAAAACTTTGATTGAATTGCGCTCTATCTAAAAGACAATATTAAGAGCTAAAACTTTCAGAGAATTGTTTTTTATCAATTCGGAACCATTTGAGCCCTTGGGAGCAAGGAAATTCAAAAATGTCCATATTAAGGATCACCCTAAATATATAACAATTATCAAAATATTTTAAACTATATTATTTGCACTAACTTTATGATATATCTAAATATGTTTTACAGACGTTTCGACGTAGTAACATCAGTTTCAAATTAAAAAAAATAATAATAATTTGTCTGGACCATATTTTTTGTAAAATGCATTAAAAAGTGATATTTTTTTTGATCTAATAATGAATCAATCGTTTTTCAATGCAGTTTACAAAAAAAGAACCCTTTCCCAATCATTCATTCACAAAAACTTTTAATATTTATAATAGATGAGAAATAAGAGTGGCCCAAATTGATCCTTGGGGCATACCAATATTTTTTGTTAATTTCACATTGATAATTAAACAAACCGCGATTTCGAAACGTCTTTATAAAATAAGTGCAAAGTAAGTTAGTGCAAAAATATAGTGTGTTTTAGTTAAAATTTTACTAAATAAACAATAGTATCTATTTCTTCAAGTTTTTAATATATACTCTTACTCTTTAACTTAAAGTATTAGCAGTTTAATTTTTAGTAAGTGTTCTTTTTAGTTTTTATCACTGTCAATCTTTCAAAGTACCTGATAATGATTATTTCATGTTTTCTCGACGTTTCAAGTCATTCTAAATTGTTTGAAACCAAAATTGGAAGAAGTAAGTGCATGTGATCCGAAATTTGACCTTGCGTGAACGTTTTCTCCAGAAATATTGCACCGATTTCAAAAACTTAAAAGCCATTTGATGCAGATCGATCAAGACTCGCAAAAGTTTGTGTGAAATAAGTTAAAAGTAGCACAAAACTATAAAAAGTTTCGTCCACGATTTCACAAGAAATCCTAAACCAATTTTGATGATCCATTTTTTTTTACTGTTTAATTTAATATGAATATTGTTTGAAAATTTTCAATTGAAAAAAGTATCAGCACTTTTAGGTAATAATCAGCAGAGCCTTTTCTTCGTAATTGTTAAAATTATATGCAGTACATGGTTTTAAAGAACATTCTAAAATATTATAAGCTTACGACACGACAAACGGCTTAATTATAAATATTCATTAGTAATGGAAATGAATCATATTTATTATTGATATTATTTTTATCTGTAAGTTCTTAATTTTTGCTTTGGTTTTTGTAATTTTTTGAGAAAAGAATATTTACTATACAATTAATTTTAACGATTCAAATTTTTTTGCCAAATTAAAGAACATAGTGTTACTAAAACAAACAATTTACATTTGCACATTGGAAGCTAAGAATTATTGTTCCTATATTATTTTTTAAAGCTATTACAATTAATTTGACTTCTACGTACACATATATAAAAACGTGCAAAATTTTCATACAAACACTTATTATTGTAGTCATTAACAAATTATGAGCAATTTGATCAAGCAAAACGCGTTACAAAATAACAGGAAACAAAAAAAACTTATTTATGCTAATGCTTTTTACTGTTTTTCTAAATGCATTAATAAAATTGTTTATAACAATAATAAAAAAAACATGCTTCATACGTATGTATGTATGATTTTGGGAACCCCAAACATTGATTTATGAGTATTTTGATAATATTTAGTCGAAGTGCGTTTGCTTTGTTTTAAAGACATTTTACGATTAATTTTATTGAGTAATTATATTTAATGACTAATAATTGCTATTGTATCATGTTATTTAAAGTGTCATTAAAATTCTGATAAGTACATCTTTTGCTCGAAAATAGGAAAAATCTCCCGATATTTTGATACTATTTATCTTAGAGTATTTAAGATTCTTTGTGATGAGATACATATTAAATATGTTCCATATGTATTATTATAAATAATTCATTTTTAAGATATTGATTTTTAAAATTTTATAAAAAATGTGAAAAATTTGAAAATTTTATGCATTTATACATTTAAGAATTAGTTTCTTTTAAGAACTTTAATGTATAATTTTTGAAGTCATTTCTTGATGCTTTTGTTATGAATAATTGAATAAATAAGTTAATTAACCTGTGGTAAAAGAATATATATTTTGCATTGAATCATGCATTAGTTATGGAAGTCAAAATTTTCCAAAATGAATTTACCTTTTATATGAATACTTAAACAACATATAAAAAAGACAGACGATGATCAACAAGGGGGCGTCCATTAATCACGAAGCATTTTTCTGAGGTATGCCAAAATGTTCAGAAACCTCTGAAACGTGAATGCAAAAAAAAATAATTTCAAACGATTTATTTCTATTGGGGTATCTGCCTGATAAAAATACTATTCGACCTAAAAGTGTTCCATCTCGTCCATATTAAACTGAATTCTACTTACTTATCCAATGATTCATATCCTAGACATTCATTCACACCAAGAATTTACTACATTCAAATCAAGAAGAAATACTAAACATTTATGATATTTACACTATTAACATCAATTGTTTGTAATTTATGCAAAATTATTACTATAAAAACTGCAAATTCAAAACTTGTTTCTCTACAAAAGTCTTTTCCGTGATGATTCCACATTACTAAAATAGATATGATAGAATTACCTAAGGAATATCTTAATTACGTACAAAGTTCCAATAATATTGCTAAAAAAATTAAATGGGTAATTACCACTTTTAATTATAATGCAGGTATTTTTCGATAAAAATCAAATTTTGCTTGTCACAATGATGTGCAAGATATACGACTTATACAATTTTGATATGAGTAACCGATTTTCTCTAGAATCCGGTAAGAAAAAAGATAAAGAAAATTACTGTATCATTTTTTGTTCTCTGTGAAAATAACAGCATTGTCCGATTCAAAAATCTTGTTTTAATTTCTGTTGACATTATTATAGAAAAAGAATATCAAGAGTTTTAAATAATTTGTTTGTTTTATCCAAAGTAAGAGTCAAACTGGGACACGAAACGTATGGAATATTTATTTACAAAAATTTGTATTTATCAGTAAAACAATCAAACTGAGACCCGAAATGTATGGAAGATATATTCAATTTATTTGAAAAAAGAACTTTTCAAATAGTTTTCCTTTTTAACAACTTTTGGTTGCGTGAATTAAAAGTATAATTATATATTTTCACAAAATACTATGTACCGTGTATAAGTATATATATATATATATATATATATATGTGTGTATGTATATATAATTATCGTGATGCCTTCGATAAATTATCATTACATAAAAAATGCTGCAATGGGGAAATCACCGTAATAAAAACCATTACACTCATTATAACACTTTAACAAAGTTAAATGTATCACTAATATCAGGTAATTAATATTTTACGTAAATAAACATACATATCATGGAATTAATTATTAATAATTAAATAATTAATTACCATAGTTCTTTATTTATGTGTTCTATGGCAGTGACGTATTTATGAACGAATAGAAACAAAATAAATATTTAGTTGCATGCAAAATATATATATTTAGTAAATAATTCAGAAATAAAAAAGAAATAGGTGTAAGTGGCATTTTCCTTGTGACAAAATGCATGAACTTTCCGATATGTATTTATCTTAATCAAAAAGAAATAAACACATTAATTTATAAGTGATTTATAAGTACATCAAGCATAATAATGTGAGAAACTATATTGAAGTTTAATCAATTTGTAATTTTTTTCCAAAAATGGTGGTAATTTTCGATTAATGATTTGAATGTTGAACATTATTGAAAAATAAATACGCGTCTAAAACATACACCGACAATTTTCTAAAAACGTGACCGATTAATCCAAATTTTAATTAATTCTAATAATTAAACCATTTGTCCTAGGCCTCTAATATTTTAGTATGTTCATGAAGACTTAGGAACTCCACATAAAAAGTATGATTCAAGTCGCAACGAAAAATTTCAACACTCAATTTTTTTTTATTTATTAATTTTAATTTAATTTGATTTCAATGCCCTCACTTTCAACTTACAGATTATGATGTTATATTATCTGATTGTTGAAACTATAGTTTAACTATAGTTCTATAGAGATAATTCCGAATATTTGCTATACACACATATTTTCAAGAGAAAAAGAATATCAAAAACAATCATATTTGCCTGTATAGGAAGATGTTAGTTTTGTTCAACCTTGCTATGAATTTTCACTTTATTTTGGAATTGACTTAAATCCTTGATTGTTTTATTATTAATGAGCTAGTTTTATTACTCTAGGAAGTGAAATTAGGATTTTGACTAATATTAATAGTGATCAGAAAGGATAATTCAAGTTCAAGTGCATATAAGAGTTCTTTGGCCTCCAATTTACTTGAATTTTACGCCTGATATGAAAGCGAAACTATAAACTCTAAAGATATGCAAGAAATTAATTTAAGAATTTATTCAGTCATCGTACACGTTCACCTAACTACGTATTTATCAAAGTATCAAAATATTTTAATGTACTAGTATCACAAGAATTCGTTAATATTTTTGATGTTTTTTTTATAGATCAAAGTTATTAAAGAAATAATCATCTAAACGCAACATAGCATAGACAGTGCATGAATAAAGTACAAAAAAATGAGTATGTATAAATAAAAATATAAATATTAATGAGCTATTATTTCAATAGTATCACATTTGCTCGTTATTTTCAATACATTAGGTTAAATAAGATGAAAACAATCAAAGATTTGAATAAAATTATAGATAAAATTAAAAATCATATTGTAGAATAGCCCAAACTAATTTCTATCTATATAGGCAAAAAATATTGTTATTGTTATGGTTTTTATTTTAATATATATATATATATATATATATATATATATATATTAGGGTGGTCCTTAAAAAGGTCATTTTCAAATTTCCTTGCTCCCAGGGGCTCAAATGGTTCCAAATAGATAAAAAACAATTCTCTGAAAGTTTTAGCTCTTAATATTAACGTTTAGATAGAGCGCAATTCAATCAAAGTTTGTATGGAAAGAGCATAGTAAAAAATTTTAAAATTTAAAAAAATGTTTTAGGTATAACTTAGCGACAAATGAATGAGTTTTATTCATTCATTTGTTCGGTAAATTACATCTAAAAATCATTTTTTAAATTTTTGAAAAATTTTTCATGCTATTTCCATACAAAACTTTGATTGAATTGCGCTCTATCTAAACGTTAATATTAGGAGCTAAAACTTTCAGAGAATTGTTTTTTATCTATTTGGAACCATTTGAGCCCCTGGGAGCAAGGAAATTCGAAAATGACCTTTTTAAGGACCACCCTAATATATATATATATATATATATATATATATATATATGTCTCAGCATCGAACAAAAAAATCTAATAATCTAATAATATATATATATATATATATATATATATATATATACACATATATATAACAACTGTTGAATAGATTATAAAAATATATACATTATTTGTAATTTGATGATATATATTATGTACAAATGAAAAAATAATTCAATTCGAATATTTACTCGAACTGTGCACTTTGACAAACAGATCGTTTTGCAATAACTATACAACCTGTATCTGTTATCTAATTAGGTATCAATTATCATTTCCGCAGATATTTGTGAATTAGATATAGTATCCAGAAAAGAATGGGGCGCCAGGGAACCAACTCAGGTAGAACCTATCAAGGAGCAACTTTCTCATGTTATAATTCACCATTCATATATTCCTGGAGCATGTGGTGGGGCTGGTCAACCGGCCTGCGATGGTGCTATGAGGGCAATGCAGGATTATCATCAATTGGAACATGGGTGGAATGATATTGGTTACAGGTAAAATTAAATTGAAGAGTTGTTATGATGAAGTCCAATGCTACTTTGATAAATGTGCATAAACAATTCTATGTTGAAGAATAAATGATTTTCATTGATTGGAGTGTGGAATGTAATTTCCAACTTTTGTGAAAGCAATAAAAGCAACTATTGATATAAAAGTTATAAAATATCAATAGAACATCGAAATGTTAACAAATAATTCAAAATAATTTTTCTTTTCAAATACAAATATATAAAAACAAATAAAATTTAGGAGCATAATAAATAAATATGATATAATAAATAAATATGCATTACTCCCTGTAACTTTTATTGATATATATTAAAAAGCTACTAAAATTTAGTTTTGCTGTTGGTGGAGATGGAAAAATATATGAAGGCCGAGGATGGAAAGTTGTGGGTGCTCACGCTCCAGGATACAATTTCAATAGTGTTGGAATTTGCTTAATTGGTGATTGGCGAAGTGCGTATCAAATGTATTTTTATACACATGTATTACTTAAAATATATGTCTAGTGATAATATTATTTTTTAGCTGAACTGCCTCCTGAAAAAATGCTGAAAGCCACTAAGAGTCTAATAGAATGTGGAGTAAGAGAAGGACATCTTAGAAAAAATTACACGTTACTAGGCCATTTACAGGTATTAGAACTACAATTCTAATAACGCAATTATTAAGTTTTGTTTATTATGAATCACTTATGAATACAACCTGTCTACATAATTAGTTAAACAATGATTTATTTCTGTCAGGTAAGAAAAACCGAATGCCCAGGGCAAAGATTATATGAAGAAATAAAAAGTTGGCCAAATTTTGAAGAAACTGAAAAGGAAAAATTTAAGAAGAAGGCAGAAACCCAATAGCTACTTTAGTAATTAACTGCCTCAAAAGTATTATAATCTGTATACTGACACAGCATTTATTAGGCAACTTGTTATACAATGTGATATCGTACAAAATAATTATATTATAATATAGTGTAATAAAATAAAAAATAGGTCTTACCTTATAAATAAAAATTAAGTATTTACAGGCAAGTTTGTTTCCATATTTAACCTTAAAACATCTACAGAAACACTTTCTAAATATACTTCATACTCCCATGCTGCAGCATACATTGTTAACTTACTCAAACTTTTTGCATGTGCTATATTTTCTAAAAAAAAAATCATAGAAACATGTACATACATACATAAGACAAGAATCATTCTTTTGTGTCACATATTGTAATTTATAATCTGTATAAACCAGTTTATAATTATTAAGAATGCATCATCTTACCATAAACTAATTTTTTTGTTGCTAATTCCTTCTCATATCCTTGCACAATTTTCGACACTAAGTTTTCCACTTGCAAAGCTGTACTAGTAACAAATAACAATTCTTGCGGATCACATAATTTAGTTAGTGCTTCAAACTTTTTATTTATCATATTCATTGAACAAACAATATTTTCATAGCCAGCTATTACTTCCTCGCCATTCAAAAATATTGATTCTAGTTCATCAACGCAACTAGTTTCAGTGTCTAAACTTTTTGATTTGATTTGAAAAATTGATTTTATCAATACCAGGGATTTGGTATTCAATTGCTTCCAATCGTGGAACAATTTATTTAACTGCACAACATTATCCTTGGCTGTTCTTAAATGGCAGGATGAAATAGGACTCGATGGTGATTTAATATCTAGTTTTTGTACAACTGACACTGGACCTAAAATCAGATCAAAAAATATATATATAAGCATATATATTTAATTGATGAATTTTGATCTTTTTGTTGATTCATATTTAGAAAATCTAAAGATTCATTTCAATTAGCTAGTTGAATTAGAAACAAACCATAAAAGTAAAAAGAAAATTATTACAGTTACTATTTATTAATTTAATTAATTCAATAAATGAGTTGAATAATTTCAACATATAGATTTATATATTCGTAAATATCTTTGAATCAAAGTGGTTTTAATTAATACTCATATACAATTATATACTCATACACAACCATATACATTTATATACTTATACACAACTGAACATTTAAGAAATCACAAAGTTATACTGAAATAAGTATTCATATATACAATTTTATACTTATACAACAGTTAAACACTTAAATTTAATAAATTTAATAAAGTCATGGAGAATAATGTGATTTGATCTTCCATTGATACTCTTAAACGCATTGAAAAAGATGATACAATCTTCGGGAAAAGTATAGAAGCTTAGGGGTATAAGACTCTCAATATCTCAAGTTTAATTTCAATGAAATGTGAGTGTTTATTTGATAAAATGGTTACTCAATTCATGTTGTCTTATTTTCTTGTGTATGTATTACATAATTTCACCGATATATTGATAATCATAATTTGTTTTCTAATAGAATATGCAATGCTAATGTTAAGCTTAGGAGAGGCAGTAAATGCTGCTTTGGGAAGAGTTTCATTTAAGACATGTGAAGATGTGTCCGATAAAAATATATTTTTTGCCTTAATAATTCAGAAAAATAATAAATGTATGGCATACTGTAAAAAACTGGTTTAATGTTGTTGTAATTAGAAGTCGATGATATAGTAAACTGGTAATTAGTTGATTATAGAAAAGAACATCTTTGTTTGATAATGGAATCAACAGATTTAAAGAAGATTGTTTGTTTATTCAGATTTTTTTGAAGGACCAATGCTTGTTTGATTTTTTGAAGGACCGTTATGTCTGTTATAAAACACTTCAAATTGAAGATTAATTAAGATTAATTTTTATTATAATTACAAATTTTATTTGCAATGTGTATTTTCATTGTAGTAGATATAATTGTTTACCCTGTCATATTATGAAATGCTTTGATCATTATTATTATATTGTCTAGGTGCTTTGATTTGATTTGATTTGTCGAAGAGTTTTTGTTACTAATGTTATGTTCTCACTATGGAAAAATGAGACAACAATGAATGATAGAATGGTTGTTTTCAAAGAAATAATTGCGTTGTTTTGAATATTTAGAAAATAAATAATTATATATATATATATATATATATATATATATACAAAACTTAACAAATTCATGTAAATGCACTTACTTAAAACGCCATCTTTTTTCGGTGATTTAACAGGCGTCCTATCCATCTTTATTTATACAATTTTCGCGAATAAACAAATATTATTACAATGACTAGTCTTAATTAGCTTTAATTAAAAACATTAATAATATCTTTTAATTAATCACTAACCTAAAAACACACATGTCTATAATTTTCTGCGCAAGCCTTGTACAATGACTGTCAAACGCCAAAATATATTAGTGTAGTTACAAAAACATCCGCTAGGTGTACGGAGTGAAGTTGATGCTAACTGAAATAAATTTGAAAAAAAAAATGCGTGTGCACCCTGCGAAAACTTTATTCAAGTTTAGTTGGCGTGGGGTGAGTGTAAAAGTGTAATTTTGCTACAAAATATTAAGTTTTTATCATATTTTACTGAATTAATAAAGTTTTCATTATGAAAACTACCAAATTTAACAATTTTCGAATGTGTGCATATATGACAAAGTGGTTTTACTGAAATATGCATCATATATAAATTTGTTCATTCAAACACCAGTAAACGTCTAGAAAACGGTAAGTTGTTTGCAAAAGATCCTTATATACATTTATATATTCATTTATACACAAGTAAACGTCCAGGAATCGCGATGGTTTTAGTAATAACCGTTTGTAAAGTTTTTGTGAAATATCCATATATACATTCATATATTCATGTGTACATCAGAAAACATTTAGTTGTGACGTGGTTTTACTAAAATATCTATATATACTTTTTTATTTCATCTGAACACCTAAAAGAACCTGTGAAATATCTATTATATAGATAGATAGATAGATATATTTCATGTAAAAACCAGAACACGTTTAGGAATACCCATGGTTTTAGTAATATCTCCATATATACATTTCTATATTTATTTATACATCAATATGTTTAGGAATTTATGTAGTTTCAGCAAAATATCCATATATACATTTATATATTCATTTACACACCAGTAAATGTGTAAAGTTCGATATAGTTTTAGTGAAATATCCATATACATATACATTTATATATTCATTTACATGCTAGTAAACCTTTAAAGTTCAATGTAGTTTTAGTAAAATATCCATATATACATTTATATATTCATTCATACATTAGTAAACATCTAGAAATTAATGTGGTTTTAGTGTAATACTCAAATATAAATTTATATATTCATTTATACAATAGAAAACCATTCGAACATGTATGCATATACATGGTTTAATTGACATATCAATATATAATAAACTATAGTGAAATATATATATTGACTTTCCAAACTATAGTGTTTTCCTGGTTTGAATCAGATGGCTACGTTCGTCATAAACAATCTGTAAGATTATTTTTCGTCATCATCGACCAGTTTTTTAATTTCTCTTCAATTTTTACTCCAATTTTTTGTCTCATAAGATATTTTTCTTGGCATTTCTCAGTTACCACCAAAATTTTAATCAATCATCGACAAAATTGGATTCATATGTTGATTTTTATCCTATGATGAAAATTCTATATTACCACTCTCTATCTATATTTCCAGTGAAAAATAACAGAGCGTATAAGAACGATTTAATATTTTTATTAATAATGAATAAAATTATATAATATTTCACAACATAATTCATAATTCTAGGCTCACTTTGTTAAACATGCTTTTGCAACATACAATTAATGACTTCATAATTTGCTAAATATTGTGTATATACATTGTTTTCATAAACATATAATAAACTATAATGCATTTATATAACTCTATTTAGCTTACAGACTACGTCTCATCACATTTTAAGTTCTGGTTTATAAATTTTAGTTCAGGTGCCAAATATCATTAAAATATTTGCTCTATATGAGATTTAAAGTAGTAAAATATATTTTTGCTTATCGTTTGGCACATGAACATTATTGGGAAGACAAAATTTAGATATCTGTTGTATATGATTTTATGTATTCTCATTTACTGATTTGCTTAAATAATATAAATGAGTATTGAAACATAAAATGCAACAATTTTCAATAACGTCTATAATGTTTCTTAATTATGAATGACATAAATAAAACTAAAAAACAAGAGCAGTTCGAAAAGCTAACTGACTGTGACTTTTTAAATGTGATAAACGTATTTTAATTAATTTATAAATAAAAAACATAAAATAGTGAAAGATATGATTTAAGTCTCATAAAAACACTTCGAATTTTTAACTTATTTAGACCATATTGAATTGGCATCATTTGAATATATATTTACACTGATAATGAGACAAATTATAGTATCGGAACGTTTGTAACTTTAATAGCATTCAAGTTAAATTTTGACTCTTACTTTAACTGCTCTTGTTATTTAAAATCGGTCTAATTTCAAAATAGCTACTTTAGAAGAATTCATCCCATCCAGTAACGTCATCAGGTGGAATGCCATCAGCATCTGGTGGGTAATCATCAAAGTTGGTGGTATCGATGACACTGGTTACATGGGGCATTATTGGAGGTTGAAGAGTTCTGCTGCGTAGACCTTCCCAATTGAAACCATCAAACCACCTGAAAAAAATGATAAAGATCGTATTTATCAGAACATATTTCCTCAGTTTTTCTTACTTATTTAATATAAATATACTCTGAACAGTGTAATATTTTAATGATATTAACTGTAAATAAGGAAATAAGAAGTTAAATGTTCAATTTAATTCCGCGGAAGGTTATTAAATTATTTTGTGTGACTCTTACAGAATATGCACCAATAATACTTGTGATAAAAGTCATAACCTTCTTATGAAAAATGGAGAAATAAATTAGGAGATGAGAGATTTAGAGCAAATATCTATTATTACCGTAACTTCTATAAATCTATTATTACAGTAATTTCTACTTACTTATGCTTTTGAATCTCGCTAATTCCTCCTCTCTGATATCCTAATCGTTCTGCTGCGTTATCTCTGCATAATTTTTTAATCAGTGCACTAGCGTTTCTGGTAATATTTCTGGGAAATTCGATAGCATCTATGCCTTTCAAAATGATATTGTAAGTCTTCATAGGATCTGATCCTGTGAAAGGCGGAGTGCCGGTTAAAAGTTCAAACATAAGAACACCTAATGACCAGTAGTCAGCAGAAATATCGTGGCCTTTATTCAATATAACTTCAGGAGCTACATATTCTGGGGTACCACAGAAAGTCCAAGTTTTCCTACCAGGTTGCAGACGCTTGGCGAAACCAAAATCTACCAGTTTAACATAACCAGTTATATCCAAGAGTAAATTTTCTGGTTTTAAATCTCTGTATATGATATTCCTCGAATGCAAATAATCAAATGCTTCCACGACGCAGGCTGTATAAAACCTTGTAGTGGCGTCATCAAAGTGTCCTTTGTCACGCAAAATTGTCCATAACTCGCCTCCTAAACATGATTCCATTAACATGTACAAATATTTGCGATCTTTGAAAGTTTTGAAAAGTTTTACTATGAATTCGCTATCGGCTTCGAACATTATTTCCTTTTCTGACATAATGTGCTGTTGCTGTCTGGTTTCTACGATCTGGCTCTTCTTCATTTGTTTCAGAGCGAAGGAACGCTGCTGGGTGTCTGATTGAATTTGCACCAGCTCGACTCGGCCGAATCCACCAACACCAAGGGTGGCCAGGACGCGTAAATCGCTCAGTTTTACATCTCGGAACTCGTCGTTTATCCTGGGGGAAACAGAACATACATAAATATTTTGGACATTTAACATAATTCGTCTAATATTCTTGTGATCAGATAACTGTTTTTGGGATTTGGGTACTAACAAGGTGACCGTAAGGTTCCTACTTGTTAATAAACTCATACCAACTCATTGAATACCTGAAAATTATGTATAAGACAAGTAACTAAATCAATCAAAAGGTGGTTTGAAGTGATCTCTCACTCAAATAATAGCGAACTTCTAAATCAACGAGAATTAGCATTTTTTCTGCTTGCTTGGCATAATTGGTACCACAATATGACTATTTTCTTTAATAAATATTGTGTTGATAACTGGCAAGATTCATTTTGAAATAGATACCCAGAATCAATGGATATATTACCATAACAAAATATTACTTATTAATTAATTATTGGAGTTCAGGAGCAATTTCCTGAACAATACCATACTCACACTTTTGTAGATGCATCTGTTCAGTAAGCGTGCAAAGATATACAATAATTAGGACAATAAATCTATGTAAAACCTATACATCATAAATTCAAATAAATATCTATGTATCTTATACTTAAAATCACTTCATACCTTGTCTTCTCAATGCCTGTATCTGGATACTTTGTCTGGACTTCATCCAAATTAGAAATGAGTTGGTTAAAGGTCTCTCGATCAATCACCAGACAAGAGACGCCTTCAGGCGATTCGCATATAATATTTGCAGTACGAAGATCATCCCTATGGTGAAAAAAATATAAAAAATTGTTTTACATGTAATTCATGAAATAACGTAAATGGATTTAGTAATTAGAAATCTAAATACCCTTGTAGAGCTTTTTCACCGAAGAAATCTCCTTTGCCTAGAGTTCTTATAAATTTATCTGGTCTTCCATCGGGTTGCTTGATTGTGACTCTCACCTAAAATTTAAAAAGTGATGTAATAAACAATATTTCATATTCAAGATATTAAATATAATTTCAATTTGCTTTTTTGGGAACGTAACCCTGATGGAAAAGCTTATATGGGTCCTTAAATAAGTAATGTACTCTCATATACAATGATCTACAAAAACTTGTAATAAAGCAAAAAGGTAATTTTTATTTGCTGTTAGAACTTAATGATAATAAATTCGACTTTTACCTGTCCTTTGCTGATAATGAAGAAGGTGTCACCTCTGGCTCCTTGCCTGACAATGTAGTCGCCTTCCTCGTAGAAAGTCTCCTCAAGAACATCTGAGATTTTGATCAGAGTGTCTTCCGGCAAATGTTTGAACAATGGCACACTGGGAAATTAAACACGATATAGTATTATTGTTTGTATTTTCAAGGAAAAGACAACTTTACAGAAAGGAAAGTGACACTGTAAAAATAATCTTCTATGTATATAAAAATAAGTCGGTTTCGTCGTCCTTCCTGACGAAATAACTCCAGAACGCACGAACCGATTTCGACAATTTTGCATTCGTTGGAAAGGTCTCGGGCTCCGCAAGGTTTATAGCTAAGAAAATTGAAAAAAAAATCAACAGAAAAGCTGAAAACATTTTTTCTTTTTTTACATACGGCGTAGTACTTAGCATGTACTACAAACTAATATTTTTTGTTTGACTGCTACTCATTTGTTTGACAGCTACTCATTGTTCTCTGCTCAGTTAATTTCATGTGGCACATAACACAAACCGGCATTGTGTTCACTGTGAAATTGTGTAAAAAAGTAAAAAAAAATAAGTAATTCGTTTCCTAACATTTCAACTGGAAACCATCAAATCAATCACGTGTATTGTGCAAATTTTTATTCAATTTCAACAGCAGGCAATTTTTTTCTTTATCTTTTAATCACCAAAAGAAATGTTACATAAAATGAAACCATCTGGTGGTGAAACGGAGTTCGCCCGGTTTTCTAGTTCTTTATATTGAAGATTTTAAAATCAGGGGATATTGCCGGATATATGGAATATGATGATATATGGAATGTCCTTTCTACTCATGTGGCGACATCGAACCTGAATGCTCTCTGGCAGTCTCATTTCACCACGTCTATGGGGTAGAAAGGACCAGGTGACAAATTTTCGAAAAGCAACAAAAAACGCATTTCTACAATGTTGAATTAGCTGGGAGCTTTACTGAACATAGTCAGTTGTTTGTTTGATATTCGTTATTTGTTTGTTGTGATATAGTGGTTTCCAATTTATTGTAGAACTCATTGAACTTGTTATGATGGACTAATTGGAAAACAACGAGCTTCTACAAAATACTCGTAAGAGTACTTTGTCCAATTCTTAATTGACATTAATTATTTATTTATTTTTATTACCTCTTCAAGAAATCGGTATATTCGGCCTGTCGGATCAGTCCGGTGCGCATCATGATGGTCTGGAAGCATTGTCGGTCGACGGCCCACAATTTGCAGTCGTCTATGGCAGTGATTGTCGCCGTCCTCTGGCAATGGTACAGAATGGCCAACTCGCCCAGGACCTTCGCTCCTTCCAGGGTGCTGAGGTAGCGACCTTCTCGGGACACCTCGACTCTGCCATCTGTAAAGGAAAAGAAGAAATATTGATATCTGGGATACTGATGGAATATGCTATAAATTTGATTACTAATATAACACAATGTCAAGGGAAAGTTGGATGTATCTTTAGCTTCCCATCAATTGAAATTGATGTTAGCATTATTTTTGGTATTAACCAACAAAGCACATTTATGGGTATTTATGGTAGTTTTTTTTATTTCTCAAGATGTAATTACAATCAGTTTTTAAAATACAAAAAACATTTAGTAATTATGAATGTCAATATGTAATGTTAAGACTAATTTAGAATTTACCCATTGATATCCCTTTTTTGTGTTGATTGATTAATGGCAGCAAATAGAATTTTTTAATAAGAATCTTTTTTACGGAATAGAATTTTTTGAATAAGATGATAGTGATTTAAATATTAAATATAGGAATTATTAAGTTTGTACATAATATATTCATTTAAAAAAAAAAGAAAAAATATGTTTACAGGATATCATAAAATACTGTTCTAGTGAAAACTTGATATTCAATATTCCATTTTGGCATTGGTATGAATAAATTATTGAAATGAAGTTGATATAACAAATCTCACAAGAATCGCACAAAATCTCAGCGTGATCCAAATAAATAATAATAATATTCACTGATCACAACAACCAACGAATCACTAACCATAGTCCAAAATAAAACATAGAACTGAAGATCTGTCCTAAATCTTTCATTTTAATGCTAATAATTATATCGTATGTTTTATATATAAATACTTATAAATGCACTATAAAATAAAAGCTAGTAGAAAATAATTTATTGATGCTATTAATGAGTTTATGTAGCAGATACTGAAACGATACCATAAATTAATATATGAGAACCTCGAAGGGCAACCTTATTCCTCCGGATATTGCTCAGAGTAGTTGTTAATAATATATATATATATATATATATATATTTTAGACAACCCTTGCGTGCAAATTACATTATTGCATGATTTGATCTGATGTTTCACATTAAACTATTTAAATTTATATACTAGTTGCTTTTTTCTGTTAGTTTAAAATTGAAGAATTCTGATTAGATAGATAGATAGATAGATAAATTCGTTTTTTTTTGTTGATATCTAATTGCAAGCTATGTACGCTGCGCGCTGCCAAAATGCAAAGTTTAATTAATTATTATAATTAAACCGTTTCTCATAGGCCTCAAATATTTTACCACGGTCAGTTTGGGCATAAAATCTACCATTATACCAAGTTTCATCAAAATCTGAGACGAGCAACGCGCGGGTTCTCCTTATAAGTTCTCAGTCCAATTTGGTACATTAACTTGGTTTGTGTCTTGTGAGAAAAATTTGTTAAAAATACAAGTTTTCTAACAACTTTTCAATAATTTCAAAGAATCACGTTTACTTCTGTGCATTTTAGTACCATAAAAAACTGCTGAACCTTTATTGCATGGACATGAAATTTGTGTTTTATAATTGCAAGTTTTATTGTACAGCTTTCAAAAAAAATCGGAGACAAAGAAAACTCTTATTAATCATTTGTAAGTGAAAGTATTAAGAAATCACATTATAAATTAAGTTTTTTGTTATAATTCATTTCTAGGTATATCAATAACATATTCAAAGTACAAGATTGTACTAGAAATTGATGAGCTGATTGAATAAGTTACTACTAAAGAAGTCTCTTATTTAATTTTTTGTTCTTTGGTCTTTGAAATTGCATATTGCGAATCCAGGAAGGATCAGCTAAAATCAGTTAAATATGTTAGCTAAATTTAAAAATCACAATCAATGGTCATAAAATTATGATCTACATAAAAAAATTGGAACTCTACATGGCAAAGATATTAAGCAGAAAACTGAAAGTTAAATATATTAGCTAAATTTGAAATTCAGAATCCATGGTCATAGAATTATGATCCACATATAAAATTAAGCGGAATAATGTTTGTGACAAATTAAAAGACAAAAAAACGATAGACGCAAATCAATAAGATAATCTGTAATGACTGCCTCTTCTTAGCCAATCAATAATATCAATCCTCCTCTAGAAGAAATCATCAATCGATTATATTCACTATTTTATAATTGGACATTTTCATTATGCTGCATGTTAGGTGGCATTGGTGCATTGCGAATTTGCATTTATATCTCTGCATTTAATCAGGTTTTTAATCCGACAATATTCATTACATGCAAAGAAGTTAAAAGTAAGCGTGATATTTTAATAGCACTTCCAAGAAACATTGTACTTGTGTCTGATAGTCGTTCGACCGATCACCAGGTTGGGCAGATGTTGATGAATGTTTGAGAATCTTAGAATTAAAAAAAAATGATATATGGCATATGTGTATGCCATTTAATATTAATAAATTATATTTAGAAATGAAACCGCAATTAACTGTTGTAGACTCGATGATAGTGTGAGTTTATTGATAACTCAATTTACAACGAAACTGATATGATATAAATTTTGATATTAATTTATTAGCCCGACAATTGATCGCTGACTAAAAACCGAGAGAACCATTTTTTCGATCGTGAAAACAATAATCTAGCTACAGCTTGCTAGATACGACATTCGCATCAGCGTAGCTCCAAGTGTGCTGTGTAGTTTAGTCATCACATTGGCGTCAATCAACTGACATCTGTCAAGAACATTTTCATTCCGCCACAGATACATTCAAATTTTCAATAAAAATATTGATGCTATTTGTATAATATTTGTTTTAAATGGGAAGTTCACATAATTACTGGCTTGTTATTTATTCGTTAAGACGTTTCTCATAATTAGTAGATGTTGGCAAAATTTTCCATCTACATTGGAGCCAAAACCCTGAATCCATTCTATTCGTATAATATTTATATATAAAACGGGAAGTTCTCATAATTACTCACACATTATACTGTTCTTTTTTATTAATTTTAAATTTTATTAACTTCTAGAGGAAGAAGTTTGTTTTCATCAGAAATCCGATTTAACTAATTTTGTATTCTTTTTTCAAGTTTCAAGTCATTCTGGAACGCTTGACACCAAAGGTGAGTATAAAATTTGACCTTTCGTCGACGTTTTCTCATATACGATCTCAAATCTCATCGATTTCAAAAATAAACTAGTTGGTAGTGGTATTTTGCCTTGAGGCAAGTTACATGAACTTCCTGATATGTGTAAATAATCGACTTAATCAATAAAAAATAAATTAACTTATGCTGATGCATATTTGAGAAAAAAACATCATGAATTTTGACAAAATTCAATATTTGCGTCACCCTCACCACTATAAGTTCTGTAAGTTCTTATCTTTCAGAAAACAAAAACATTATAATATCAGTTATTGAATCGATATCAAGTGTGAAATCTTCATATTTACGAATTCATTAAAATAATATTTAAATATTTATACATCCTCAAACGTAAAATATCGATAAGTCAATTGACTTTCGCTTATTTTTCAAACCGGCGCGATGACTCAGTCGGAGCAATCCGTGTATGGAGAACCCTTCGTATAATAATTTAACACATATTTATTATTTACTTCATCAGCAACCTTTTAATATCGGCGATTTGTCGATAAAATAATTCTGTGTCGAGAAATAGTGAAAGTGTTAAACACATTCACCATGAACCGTCTGCAAAGTGAAGGTTAAATCATGTTACCATGGATGATTCCAAATGGATAAAACACATGTAGAAAGTGAATATATCGATACGTAATATATGAAATGAATTGGTGTTATAAATTAATGATTTACATTTGTATGCAAATATGAAATTATTGTAATCGATGTAAATGATTATAAAGTTATATTATGCATTGGACTTGAGCGAATGTCTGAAATGATACATATTAATCATATACAGCAGATTCCCGTTAAATCCATCTTGCTTAACACGATTTCTTGTATAATATAATACTGGACGCCAGCAAAACCCTGCACTTATTGTTAGAAACATATGTTACTTATCCCGCATAATACGCTTTCATGCATAAAGTGCATCATGGTTATGTATCTGAAGAATCATCTTAACCTTTACTGTATATTATTGCTAGATTTATATGATCTTTTTTGTACTAGAAATAAATGGCATTATGCCTTAAGGCAAGTTGCATGAACTTCTCGATGGTGTCAATTATATGCTTAATCAATAAGAATTGGCATTTACATAAAATCTTCAACTGTTTATTTGAGAATGAAGTGTTTGCTTTCAAGACTAATTAATAATACAATTTCGAATTGATATATTGAAAAAAAACACGTACTTGGGGAGCTTCTATTAATCGCGTGATCGCTTTTTAAGGATTTTTGAACCCCTTTCCCGCACTATTGGTGATACATGATGATATTTAAAATTATCCTTCTACACCCCCCTCCATTAAACATACATAGAAAAATTGTAGAGTTTTTAGAAGAAAATTTAAGGCCGGTAAAAAATAAATACTCGTAATATTTTACTAGACCCCATCCCTCAAAAATTAGAAAATGTATATGTGTACAAGAGTGTGTGTATGTAAGCCATTTTGACCCTTTTTTGAAGTTTTCTCAAAAACCGATTTCAAATATTATTTAAAAACAATTTGATGAATCTTGATAAGGACTTACGTTGTTTAGTTTTACATAATTAGTCAAGCCGAATTGATTAATTATACTAATAATCAGTTATTATCAATGAACTTGGTGAATAAATATTTATTCATTAATAATACATGATTATTCATTAATAACTTATACATAGTGCGCAATTAAATCAAACTTCGTATGGAAATAGCATGGAAAAAATTTTGAAAATTAAAAAAAATGAATTAAAAGTGAAAATTTGTGTCATTTTTTATTAAAAATTCGACGCCCTGCAAAATTTTTGAATTTTTTATGCTATTTCCATACAAAACTTTTATTGAATTGCGCTCTATCTAAAAGACAATATCAGGAGCTAAAACCTTCAGAGAATTGTTTTTCATCAATTTGGAACCATTTGAGCCCTTGGGAGCAAGGAAATTCGAAAATGTCCATAT